CAATGGACCTGATTAAAAGAACAGAAGAAGGATTCATAGACAGAATGGATGCTATAGAGCCACGGGTAACTGAGATGGAAAATTTAGCCTCAGGACAAAATTACTTAATTGCAATGTTTATTAAAAACAATAAGAGGTTATCCAGTACTGTCAGGGAGATCAAGACTAAATCTTGGGTAAAAAATGCCCCTATTATGCATCTGAGGGTAAAGAATTGGGTGATTTGGCAGGGGATGCAGTGGTCTCTAGCCAGTAACTCTTAGAGCCAATTCTGCTCTGAGATACTTGCCATCACTTTCATAGTGGGAGTAATAGCCACGTATCAGATAGTAAAACTGGGTCTTTAGCATACAATGGGGGAGCAACTGTCCAGGGCCTGGCCCTGCCCTCACTTACACCAGCATGGATCCAAAGTAGCTACACTGATGCCAACAGAGTTACTTCAGATCCACACTACTAGGGGGTATGTCTACACTACCCTCCTATTTCGAAATAGGAGGGTAGTGTAGACATACCCATAGGGAGTAGAATTTGGCTCACGGTGCTTCAAACTCATCAGGTATGGTTCTCCTCACGCTTGATTTGGTTTAAGAGCAATGCAGCTCCACTGATTACAAAGTTTCACACCTGTTTGAGTGAGTGAAAACTCCAGGTAAATTGTTTAAAATACCACCACAGTTTTAGGAGGGGACCTCCAGTCTAACTCCATGGTTCTGAATATCCATGAATTGGCATTCCAAACCCAACAGGTGTTTGTTTCCATGCCTGTCAAAGCAATGAAAAGACTTATCCCCATCCAAAAAAACCCAAACTGAGTCAGGAGTCATGGCTTCTGGAGTGGGAGAGAATTACTATTCTTTCAAACTGCGAGAGGGCATCATGACATTTACAAAAGGTCTGACGCATGGGGAAGGAGCAGAGAGCTTGTTCAAGTTACTAGATTGATCAAACATATACTGAAGCAATTGGAATCATTTCTTTCTTGTTAGTGTATTCAATGACACTTTGTCAATGTGATGATGTGGTTGAGATACCACTTTGCATCTCGTTCTGTATGAAGAGCAGTTTTGGTGAACTTTATATTCTAGAAATATTGCAGCATTTTCTTCTTGTTTTTAAATATGTTTAGTTGTGTCTTCTCTCAGATAACTTGGATGTATGAGGGGATATCTGGTTGAGTTTGAATGCCATATTATGGCCAAGTTTTTGGAGGAGCCTTAAGTCAGCCTCCTATTCTGCGTGACCAGCAAGAAAAAATACATAATCTATGTGTCATGGGATCTCAGTCCCTTTTCTTACCCTGAACAAAAGAGGAAAGATAGACAAGACTCCATGCCAAGGGAGAGAGTTCAAAGCCCCCACACCACTCATAGGCATGTCAATGCTGCCCCATGTAAATTTATATCCAGTAGCTCTACTGGCTGGGGTGGTTTTCTGGACTGAATCTGAATGTTCTGCACTGGATGTCCAGGACCCTTTACAAGAGCGAGTGCAGGATGGAAGAACACAAAGGAGTACAAAGGGAACTAACTCATGATGGTTTCGCTCAGTATGTAATGGCCTATGTTCTTAGCAAGTTAGCTACCCAAAAAACTGCTTTTCCCACCTTGCAACTTTGAGATACTGGGTATCAGCTGAAGTGTTCTGCCCAGATTCCTGGATGTGAATGCCTAACGTGTCAACGTATTTTTGGCAGAGGGCCCTGGAACCAAATTCTGCTCTCATTTATTCAGTGTAAACGTAGAAAGTCTGTTGACCCTCAGAATATGGTATAAAGTAGGGATGTTAAGTAGCATTTAATTAGCAAATCAAGTAGTCGATGGACATTCCATCGATTAGGTGATGGGGGGGGAAGCCTCACCACCCCCATTGTGACTTTGCAGTTTAAATGTAGTAAGAGCCGGGCTGCCTGCACACCTAGTTCCTACGACATTTAAACTGCAGAGCGAAGCAGAGAAACTCCACCGACTTAGCTAATTTTATTCCCTGGGATTGGAGCAGTCCTGGCTTGCTACAGGTTCCCTGCTGTGGCTTTGCCTCGCCTCTCCCTCCCCTCCTCCCCCATGGAGATAGGGTTGGGAGGAACCAAAGCCGACTCCCCCCAGCACCGGCTCCTGCTCCCCTCCTTGCTGCCTCTTATACAGAGGCAGCTGGGGAAGGGGGGAAGTCAAGTAGTGATTCAACTGGTCACTTAGATCCCCACTGTCAAAGCTGCAGCCCAAATTCAGCTGTGCCCAAACAGTAGTCCAAGTTTACACAATCAGAGTAAATGGGCTAAATATGGCTACAAGTGGTTAAGTACTGCCATCTGTGCAGGACAAATAATTCACACCTAGAGAGAGAGAGGGGAATGTAACATGATCAGCAAGTTACAGGAGGGTGTACAAAAAGGCAGCCTCCCCTACCTTGTCTTGTATCCACAGTTAGTTCTCCAGAACAGAAGAGTCAATTAGATCAGCAATTATATCACTTCTGAATTTTGTCCTGAGTCTTCCATGGGAGTTACCGCAAGTACCTTTCCCATACCCCCGAATAACACAGCTCCATCTGTCTACTCAGACTTTTTCCATGAGGGTCGTTGGGGTGTATTTCTGTTAATTTCCAAGGAAGTGTCTATTTTCGGTTGACGTAAGTTAATATTTTTGGTTTCAATTGTTTTAGCAATGTGGACATGTGCCCAGAGGAGAATCACAGTGGAAGCATTTTAGCAATTTAAAACACAAACAAAAGCAACAATAAGAGTACACTGGGTCAGAGTGCAAGTTCCTGACAACGCATTGGCACAACTTAGGGGTACTCTGGACACCAAAACCAGCTGAAGCCAGGCGGGCAAGGGCAGATCATCCTGGGAAGCAAATGCCTTTTATTTGCACGGGTCAGTGTCAGAATCCACATGCTTCTACAAGCTGTTAAGTAGATATGCCTATTTAATGAAATACACACTCTACTCAACAGTTTCCCTCACTGACTTACGACTAGCCCCAATGACGTAAGATAATGCACTACACACAGCTACAGCACTGCCATGTCATCCGTTCATTTACTATTTTTTCATTCTACATTCTGTACGGAGCCCCTTCAAGCACAAGGGTGCAAGCAAGGTCCTATCTTTCTGGATGTTCAGAGAGCTTAACAACGGAAGGAAACATCAGATCATCATAAGCCACTAAATGCCACCCAGCCCCCTCACACAATGAAACCCAAAACTAGATTGAGTCCAAAAAATTGCAGCCCTTTCTTGTCTAGTATTTTCCCAGGCCCTCCTCTCCAAATGATTCCACAATTGAAGATTTCTCACCTTTAGTCAGTAAAAATAAATGCCTTTATAGTCTAAGAAATCTCAGTATCCACCAGATGCCAGAACAGCCTCACAAGGTAGTTCTGTTACACACTTACTGTAGAAGCATCAAATATGAAATATATCTATTTCACACTCAATCACAAATATTTCACCATTTTTGCACTAAAAAAATTCTACATTCAACTAGCATATGGAGCATTGTCCCTCTCCCCACCTCCCACCCTCCACTTAAGCACACCGATATCAGAGACAGACATCACGGTGCCCACATCAGCCAAATGGAACAACATATGCAGCAGAAGAAATTTCACCACAGACTCTGATATTATGTGAAAGGGTGTCATGCACAGTTTGGTGGCACCTGCCAGACTAGAGGTAGCTCCCTAAGTTTTTGGCCTACTCAGAGGGGGTCCAGTTGTTGACGCAGGACAGCTTTGCTCAAAACCGCGTGTGATCGTGGTGCCCAGATGGCATACACCTCTTGCAGGTGGGAGCAAATATGACGAGATCTTGGCTGCAGGTGGGTAAAGCCAGCTACATTCAAGGCTAGCAACACAGGTGAGATTTTTTTTTTTTTGCCTGAGAGGAGATTAAATTAACTCAGCAATGGACAATCTAGACCAGCGGGCGAGCTGTAGGAGTGGCCCTCTTCTATCTCAGTAGGCTGCAAGATCATCATAACCAAGATTGAGAAAAAAAAAATTACTGAATGGAAACCAGCGGAATCCGCTGACCCTGCACATGGGCAACGGTAAACAAAATGTGTCATGGGCCACACGCAGAACCCCAATGGGCAACATGTGGCCTGCGGGCAGCAGGCTGCCCACCACTGAATTAACTGGTGGGAATGGCTGGTCTTCACAAGCCCCGAGAAGGGGTTAATGTCCCTTTCCTGCAGCCCTGAACTGAATGGAAACCAGCGGAATCCGCTGACCCTGCACATGGGCAACGGTAAACAAAATGTGTCATGGGCCACACGCAGAACCCCAATGGGCAACATGTGGCCTGCGGGCAGCAGGCTGCCCACCACTGAATTAACTGGTGGGAATGGCTGGTCTTCACAAGCCCCGAGAAGGGGTTAATGTCCCTTTCCTGCAGCCCTGACACTTGAATGAGGCCTGATCCTTCATGAAGGGGTTTGAGCAGGTCTGGGAATAAGATGAGCCTGGTAAATGCCGGAAATGTTAGGATGTTCTGGATTTGAACATGAGGAGGGAGGCCTCGTGCGTGTTTGCCCTTCCCCCCGCCATTCCTTATTGTCAGGATAGGTTGCTTTTAGGAGATATTGTAAGGTTCAGTAAACTCACAGCCACTCGGACAAAAAAGCAACTGATGTGTTTATGCTCACTGGCCCTAATCATTCTCATTTCCAAACGGTCATCCTTTGCCGTGGAACAAGTTCTATTTGCTACTAACGTTAACCACATGACATAGCAGCATTAAGCTATACTTTGAGCCACAGTGGTCTATGAAATAGGGAGGTGAATGGATAAAATGGTTACCCAGTAAGCATCACCCAGTAACGATGATGCTTACTGGGTAATGGTTAAGTGGTACCTGGGAGCAGCCCCAGAGGGCTACTCCAGCCCCATTGGGCCCTTCATGGATTGTTAACTGATTAAATGGGATTTTACATCTCTACTATAAACACAGTTTTAAAAAAAAAACGCTAAAGAAAGAAAAAATAGAAGACACTTACCTTTTTAAGCCAGCGATCGCTCTATAGATGTTTCCATGGTGGAGAAACTGCTGCTTTCCCCTATAAAGTAAAAAGCCAAGACACTGTATGAAAGTTCTCAAAGTCATAAATTAAATTGATTAAATGGGATTTTACATCTCTACTATAAACACAGTTTTAAAAAAAAAACGCTAAAGAAAGAAAAAATAGAAGACACTTACCTTTTTAAGCCAGCGATCGCTCTATAGATGTTTCCATGGTGGAGAAACTGCTGCTTTCCCCTATAAAGTAAAAAGCCAAGACACTGTATGAAAGTTCTCAAAGTCATAAATTAAATATATAATAGAGCATCGTGACTATTTTAAAACAGCAAATTCAAAGAACAGTCATCGCTTACCCAAACTAAAAACGAGTCCACATTTACCCTAACTAAGTACAAATGGCACAGGTTTTCCCAATACATTTTTCCCCATCCGATGAGACTATGTGCATTACTACCCACTTACAGCAAAACATGCTGTACGGTGTCAATTACTGAAATTCCCTTATGCAGTGGTTGTTAAAAAAACAAACCTCAAAATATTAGCCATAGCTTATGAGTGTGTCCTTAACATGTGGTATCTTTTTTTCCCAAAACCTTATAATGATGCTCAACAGTGTGAGGCTGCGCTGCCCCAGAAGCAAGGCAGGAATCATCTTATTTCAGCTTCGAGGTTCACAATCCCTGCCTCCCCCTGGCTGTAGGGCAGGATATAAGGTAACTGTGCAGGACAAACATGGAAACTCAAAGAGATGGAGCTGAGGTTCCCTCCACTCCTATTCCTGGCAGGCCACTCTCCGTCCACTTTTGAGGGAAAGGAATTAGCAGCCCATGGGAAGGGAGCCAGCAGTGCAGTTCACTCCACCACCTTTCTCCCTCCCATAGGGAGCCCAGCTATGCTCCCAACTGAGCTTTTAGATACTAACTACTGATGACATTTTAACTATCTGCAGTGTTCCCCATGCGGTGGTTTCATTGCTTCCTGGGTAAAAATGACCTCTTGCATTCTCTTGCACAAACTCAGGGTTTAAGCAGTGAAGAGCATTTGCACAAATCTAGTGAATTCCACACTATATAAATAATGTAAATTGCATTTTTTCTTTTATTGTTAGTTTAAAAAACAGTAACAACAAATGCAATATATCCCCCGTATATACTCGAACATAAGCCCACTCATTTATAAGCCCCTCAAATTTACAGAGAAAAAAAATGGTAAAAATGTCACTGACTCGTTCAAAAGCCGACTCCAGAGCACAGCGGTCTGAGACCTTATAAACGGGCCAGTGACTTTTTACTATTTTTTCGTCTGTAAGTTGGGCGGGGAGGGGCTGGGTCCTATACCACTGCAGCTCTGCTTTTTAAATGTAGTAAGAGCTGCCGGACATCTGGGACCCAGTGCAATCCAGGACTGCTGTGTCCCAGTTCGCGCAGGGACCCCCGCTACTACTCTGCCTTTTAGAACTCGTTCATAAGCCGATTCCCGTTCTTCACAGTGGGATTTTTTTCCCAAAAACAATTCGGCTTATGAGCAAGTATATACAGTACCCATTTATTCACACAACTAAATCATGCACACACAGTTCAAAATACACTGTAGGATGAACACTAATATGGGGTAATTTCTGGAGCATGAAGGCAGAGGAGGAATTAAAGAAACAAGAGTGGGGAGGAAGATGAAAAATCTCTTTTCAAAAAGCTGTCTGAATCTGGATTTAGAGGAGACCAAGATGTAATCAAAAGTATCTAAGGTGATCTACATAAACACCACACATTTCACAATTTATTTTAAACATTTATTTTCACTGACCTGTTTAAACAGAGTTACACAACTCACTGTATTGACTCCCAATAAATCTCTATTAATAAATTCCTAAATATTTGTCCAAAGCTTATTTTCCTTCTGATTATATTTTTTCTGCAAAAGAAATAAACTCACAAACGTCATAGTATCCAGTTGGCATGTCCTTAGGACTAATTCTGAACTGATGCCTTTCAAAACCTTGGGGGAAAAGAAAGGGGTATAAAAAAAAGAAGAGATATCCCTGAGAGCTGCACTGCGGACTCTGCAGAATAAGTCTTATGGTGACTGGAGGAGGGGCAGCCGTTCACCATCCCTTCCCTCCCTAGTTCTAACCATCCAAAACCAGCTAACCATGTAACGATCAGAATTTTTAACTGGTACACGGTTAGTGTTTTAAAACCTTTTTTACATCCCCACTATACTATGAATCCTGTTGCTCCTTGCAGCACATGATATTTCACCACCGTGACTTACGGTAATTATTAACCAGCCTATTAACCAATCAGGATGCTCTTATTAGGTTATTAACCAACCGTAGTTGGCAGAATAACACTCAGCCAGTCACACTGCTGTCAGAATAATAATAGTTATACATATGAAATATTTCCCATCATATTAAGTATGAATACATAGTGTGATAGTAATGAAACAATGATTTCATAATGCTGTGACTCTTTCAGGTAACATTAATCATTAATTTGGCTCCTACACAGCTGAGGTCCAAGTATCACTGCATAAGTTCTTTTGGAAAGCGACCATCCATATGTACCCATCCATGGTAGCCTATTGTACCACCCTAAGGCACATGATTAGTGACCGTTACATACAGCTCCTAACACACCGGAGTCTGGGCCTACCATTAGGGGTCTAGAAACCACAATTATACACATAACAACGTAACAATGGAGTACCTACGTTTGCCACTGGACTGCTGGTACACAGACCGCCATGCCAGGCAGTCAGGGGGAAACCGTACCACAGCACACTCAGTCATATTGGTGCTGGTTACAGCGATTTTAGGTGGCGTCATTAACAACAGTAACTTTATCAAAGAGGACACTGAATTCTCTCCAAGGTGTACAGCAATTCCTAGTCTCACCAGAAATGAAACCATTCCAGAAATATAAACTGACTCTGAGGGGACAGCTGTTGAGGGGGCTGGTTGTTTTCATCAAATATTGACGTCGCCTCCCAGGGAACGCAAGCAAAAGCTTGCTTTACCAAAAATAAATAAATCCAACTTCTCGGCTTGCCCCCAAAGCATCTTTATATGGGTCTCACTATTGCGCAGTCAGACTAAGCCAGTTCACAGGTTTCTAGGGTTGTGAATGTTCAACTGGTAAGCCTCGTCCTTAACGGGTGAGGCTTACCGGTTAAGATTAACCAGTGGTGGCTGGGCAGCTCCCTGCCGGCCGCGGGCAGGGGGTTGCTCCAGTCCCCTCAGGGGGCCCGTTGCAGACAGGGGCTGCTCCAGCCCAGTGGCAGGAAGGAAGGCCACTCCAGCCAGGCTGAAGTACACCTCTCCCCGCCCTTTAATTGTCAGCTATTTAAACAATACGTTGAACCAGTTAACCAAATAAACGGGATTTTACATCCCTAGTTGTTTCTAGGTCATGCTGCAATATTGTGTCCATAATTGCTGTGGCCAAGTCGTCGCCTGGTGGCCAATCTTCTGGTGACGAACCTTTCCACGCATTGCTAGGCTGGGCCGTGGACGGCGGAGACACAATCCATGGCCAAGACCAAACTCGAAACCTTTCCAGCTTGGTAGAACCTGCGAGAGCTTATACTCGGCTGACGTAAGCCTTCAAGAGCCCAGAGTCACCTCCATGCCACAATGAGGCCCCGTCCACCACGAACAGAGGCTGCTTGGCGGCAACAGCCCATGTCTGCGGCGGGGGGCTGGTATAGGAGGGGGCTCAGCTCCCTGCTGTGACCCTTGCGAACAGGGGCTACTTTGCAGCAGCGTCCCCTATCCCCCCCTCCCCGCTGCCTCTAACAGAAGCACCCGGGGGTGGGGAAGAGGCAGGCAGCAACCCAGACACGGTGATCAGAGGAACCGACTTTTAAGCTGGTTCCCGCAGCACCAGCTCCTGTCCCCCCGTGCTGTCTCTCAGATTGGGGGAGCGGAGTCCCATGCTCCCTGGGGCACTTCTGCTTTTGAAACGTACAAGAGTCCTTCAGGTGCAGTGGGAACCGGCGCAAGTAGCGACTGAAGCAGTCCCCACTCGTGCCATTTCCCGCCAGGCCTCTGCCTCCCCTGAGCCCCGCAGAGACAGAGCTGGGAGGAGCTAGCTTCACTGCACTGGCTCCAGCTCCTGCTCCTCCTCCCCCCACTCCCCGCCTTGCTGCCTCTCTCTGATAGGAGAGGGACACGACATCCTTAAATACCCGCTTCTGGCCATCAAACAATCCCCAAAACTCTCCAAGCTCATCATCAGAAGCAAGCTCCTCACAGATAAGGCCACATTTACTCAAAGTGGCACCAGATCCTGCCAGAAAAACAGATGGAAAACTTGCAGACATCTCTCCCATGCTACAGTGATCAGCGCCTCCCACAACATGCTGTCAAGATCATAAGTCTTACACATGCTTACCTTAACATAGACTTCCTCCTGGGCACTTCATGCCCCCAACAGCAACCATGTGGGTGAAAACAAGACACTATGCTCTCGAATGAACTCTCACAGGAAAACGTTAAAAAACAAAGCCATACCATCACCTGTCGGTGAACACTTTTCACAAAGTGATCACTTCGTATCTTACATACGAGGCCTCATCCCCAAAGGAAACCTGCAAAAACACTTTCAACAGACAAGCCTGGGATCTTATATTCATAATTCAGCTAGATACCTCAATACACTGGATTTGTGATTTATTACAACAATCTGCAGCAATCACAAACCTCCCCCCCTTTTTTTCCTTCGTTTTTCTTTTTCCTGTGACTCTAGGTGTTTTAACTGGCCACTCCACCCTGAATGGTCCCTTAAAATATGAGCTAATGACCTCTGCTAAACAATCTGTTCCATTTTGTATGTAGTTATGATTCTCAGAGTAACTTATTACCTCGCCCACCTTGTCTCCCTAATATTCTAGGGCCCTCACAATTACAACACTGCAGACATTTTTACTAAGTCACTTTTCAGGGTTAAACTGCACACTTTACTGAGAGTGTTGCATTTTCATATGCAGATATCAGATTCAGTTTGTTTTCTTGTATACCCTATATATGAAAACCTGGAAC